ATAGGGTCTCTGTAGTTAAGGCATATAATAAATCTCAAATTATTTCATACGACTCTCTTGTGTCAGAAACGCTCCTAGATGGACATCTGTATAAATTTTATAAATGTGATAGTTTGTATTCTTTCACGTCAGAACCGATTAACGGATCTGGATGAAATTTGGCACAGAGGTAGATTATAGTCTGGGATAATGGAATAACACATAGGGTATTTTTTATCCCAGAAAATATACGGTTCCCGGGGGATAGATATGTTTTTGTTCTTCTAGAGGCGAACCCGAGCGAAGCAAAGGTGAACCCCTAGTAGGTATTATATATATCTACGATATGATACGGCACTAACACATCGAGCTTTCTTTATTAATGTTAGATATACCAAGACAAAAAGTAGCTTGTATTACTTAGAAATTAAATAATAATGTAGCTCTAAAACTTCTTTTGGTTGGTTATTACTGAAAGTTAACATCTTTATAATGACTATTTTAGCACTTCATAATATCTGTGCTTACTGCCTACCAATTTAAGGATTTCAACTATATTTTGAGGCCTCATGCGTCATTTCAGCATGAGCTATAGGTATACTTTATGGGCTTTGTAACACAGCCAACACTAACTAGACGTGACGTATCGTAAATTTTAGTTGGTATGTAAACTTCGTTTTATTGCAGTGATAAAATACCGATAATTCTTACCAATGGAGTTGTTAAACACCTTAAATAATCATGTAGACCTTTGTGAAATTATAAGCTAAGCCTCAGATTCTTGACATTTGTAAAACGAATGTTTGAAAAAATAAAAAATAATATTGAATGTTTCTTTATCTATCTATATATACATAAAATGCTTTGTCTTGACTGACTGATCGATCAACGCACAGCCTAAACCGCTGGTCGTAGAAACGTGTTTAGGGGATGAAAGTTCGTATGAAACTCTGTAACTGATGCACGGAAAATGGTATTTACCTTTAAAATGAAAACTAAAACAATACAAATATCATTATTTTTTTCGAAATTCATCCCTTAAAAGGGTAAAAGGGGGTTGTGCTGTTTATATGAGGAAACCCCCCAACGTGCGTTCACCTTGTCGTGGTGGGGGGGCTCAGTAGTGCCCGGCAATTCAACCGGGCGCGAAGCTAAGAAACGCACTGGGAGGTTGCCCACTTCGGTGGGCGGTGGGAGGTGGCGCTCTTCAGGGGGCGGTGTACCTTGCGGGTTGCTCCTGGTACTTCTCTGATAGCAGAGTGGACCTTGGAGCAACCCCATGGTTGTGGTGGTCTGCTTCGGCAGTCGGGGCGTCGTAGTTGAATGCGTAAGCGATCCTGCGACGCCCCATTAAGACGGGGGAAGGTTTTGTTGGGTTTTAGTAGGTAGTACTGGCTGTATAACGCCGGTGAGTCCCACACGTCGTGCGTAAATGCATTTCCCAACGTTAAAAAAAAGTTTATATGAGGGAAAAATGTTTATGATCAGAATTACTTGAAACTTGGTAATTGGTATTAATGAAATTAAATAAAGACTTAAGTAGATTTTTTTTAAATTCAGCCCCTAAGCGGGTAAAACTGGGCGGTGAAGTTTGAGTTGTTGAATATATTTAAATAGAGTATTAATATGGCTCAAGTTCTCTGTAAGTACACACTTACTGTGTGGGATATAAAATAGAGAAAGGAAATCATTCCGAATCCAAAGGAAAATTATGTATAACTTTTCGGCTGGCCACAGCAGTGCAGACAACTATAACATACCTAGAGCACGAGAGAGAAATCTAGCTAGCGAGTATCCTGTTATCTATATCCTCCTTCTGAATGTTGGCACTTCTGCAATAGAAAAGTCGCCTAAGCTAAGTAACGGGATTAGACTGTGATTAATTCAATAAACATTATAGTGGTATGTTTGCTGAATGTGCTCGGAGGGAATCAGAATTCATACCTCGAATACACCTGATAACTTCTGACTACGTCTTCTCTGGGCCAGTACTTAAAAGTAGCAGGCGTAGACTTAAGAGTGTACCCTCTTCCTCTAACTTTGGAAAGGTGGAGTAGTAAAATGTGCAAAAAATACAGGTAGTAGAGCTTGCTAAATACCTAAAGTGTAAATTTATTTACAGAATATACGCTTAACATCTTTTAAGATACTGGATATTTTGACTTACGATGGCTATAATTTAATTTGTTTTCCATATATCTTTAAGAAATAAAAAAACTTACAGGAACTTATTTTTGCAAGTAATAAAGTATGTATGTATTGAGAAAAAGATTTTTTTTTATAGTTTGATCTCAGGCGAAGCCACGGGTTCTGTTAGTAGTATTAATAAAAGTAGAGAGGTTTGCAATTTAAAAATAGTTTAAAATTAAAATTGTATACTTTATTTAAGGATTTTATTCAATAAAGGGTTGCGCAGTCTTTTTTGGACAAAAATTCATTTAAATATTTTCTAAACAAAACCATTCGAGAGTCTTTAACAGAAATCAATAAAACAAATGACTTATTTTAATTTCATTTAATCTAATAGACTTTGTATTAAATTAACACATACCTTAAACAACAGCTCTTTGACTAGAATAACAATTTATTATAATAAATCTTAAACATTCGAGATTAAACTATGACACTTCTATATAATAACATCATAAATTCATATATTATTAATATATAGTTTTAAAAGATTTTACAAATCATGTTATATAATATAATTTAATAAAAACATCAGAAAGTGCTTCAGCCATTAAAAGCGTTTTAAATAATATATATACTACATATATTCGTTTTCGAATTTTTATAGATTCATAACACTTACTATATTGTAGGAATTGTTAACTTAATTCTATTATTTATGTATAGGTATTTATTTATTATAAAATGATGTCATATTCAGATAGACGATGGTATTATTTACTTATAAAAGTACAATCAACCAAATGCAATAATAATAATAGGTATACTATATAATAGTAAATTCTCACTTAGTGAAAAAATAAGCGTGAATAACGTCTGAGATTTTTTCTTAATATTTTAGACGAATTGTTTGAGTAAAATATGCATTAGGTACTTTCAGTTAGGTACATAGGTCGAGTTCACAATGTTTTTCTGGAATATATAATATAGTTATTGATAAAGTCTTCGATTACTTGTATCACTCGACCAATTTTATTTACAATGTTAAAAAATACTATTTTACAAATAAAATAAAAAAAAACTAAGTTTTAGTAATTGACTAGAAATAATAATATGTATTTATCTTGATTTTTTTACTCGTATTGATACGCTTATTTACATCTCCATTTTTTTATAAATTAAAGCTATGACTATTAATAATTTCATAGTATCTGGAATGTGATTATTTCGATTAAATAAACGCCCTAGCGGCTTCTAGTGCCGTTATTAACCGATAAATACTTATTTTCTTTCGTGTAGAAAATACCTTTATAAATAAAAAAAAAATTAACAAAAAAAACCGACTTCAAACAAAAGCATTAAAAAGTAAAAAATAACTGATTGGTAGTTTTCATTTACTATACATACCTAATCAAATATTTTCGAAATCGGTGTGCTTTGTTTTGTATCGGCTGTTTATTTTTGTTTTTATTGTTTATTTATGTTTGTTATTTCTATTAAAGACTCTCGAATGGTTTTGTTTAGAAAATATTTAAATGAATTTTGTCCAAAAAAGACTGCGCAACCCTTTATTGAATAAAATCCTTAAAGAAAGAATACAATTTTTGTAAATGAAAACTACCAATCAGTTATTTTTTACTTTTTAGTGCTTTTGTTTGAAGTCGGTTTTTATTTTTTTTTTGTTAAAAAGTTTTTATTTTTCTTTTTTTAGTGTAGACAGTAGTACCAAAGTAAGAATTCTAACGTGTTAGGCTTGTCAAATCAAACAAAATAAGCCCAAACTCAAAGTATCTACTATTAGCCGTTGAAGAGTTCCACTTATCTACCTTCTGGCATTACCATCAGATCAGGTCAACAATACCGAACCACTGTACTATCAAGGGAAATAGAAACAATTGCTCAAAAGCTTCAAGTCAATATGACAATTAGAAGTAGGTTAAATTCATCATTAGCTGTTTTTCCACCCTTAGGGGTGGTATTTTTTTTGTAATTTAAACGGGACCAATCTGGAAGTATACTCTTTCAAACAAAATAAAAATTGATCAAATCGGTTAATAAATGACGGAGTTCTGAGGTAACAAACATAAAAAAAAAAAACAAAAAAAGAAAATGCAGCCGAATTGAGAACCTCCTTATTTTTGAGGAAGTCGGTTGAAAATAAGTATTCACCGGTCACTCCCGTAGCATCGCTTAGTTACGTAAATCTAAAATATAAATGTGTTTGTTTAACCCGTGTTCGTTGATGTACTATGACACTACGATCTAAATCAATATGAATATAATTATATAGTTTTATTTTTTAATATTCAACCTACTTAAGCTTTACACACTACAAAATTTAGGCAAAGAATCCAAAATTTGGACGGCGGCAATGTAATAAGCGTTGCATCTTGTAGGTTACTTTCTAACATAACACAACAACGCATGTCGCAGTAAACATTCTGTAATCACTAGGTCAGTGCAAAACTAGTGTCGTCTAATTATGATTATTTATAGTGACTGTAATATTATAGATCTCTATATGAAAATAAATCACAAAATATATATCCAACAATGTCAAACATCTTTTCTTTTCTAAATCTACGGAATATTACAGAAAATTTCTAGAAGTACGCACTAAAGTAATACTTCGCTATGTAAAGCTAACGATATGGAGGAACCCTGTAGGATAAATCATTAAATCTACCATAAGAGTAGTAAATAGATATAGCAAACAACATTTGGTCACAATTTGGTCGGGAAGGTCGAGTATTAACAGCAAGCTTTAAAATAATGATTTAACAGCTAAACTCGACTGAACCGCACGCACATTTATTGTCTTTTACACATTACATTAGAATATATTTAATATAAAGAGAAATTAACTATGCATAGAAAAAAAACTCTTTTTATAAAACTTCATGTTTGATAACGTGAGTACGCTGAGGCCACGTAAGGAGGAGCTGTTCGTCTGCAGCGTTTTCAATATTAATATTCTCAGATAGTGCAGGAGAACAGGACATTGTACCAAGGAGAGCACCACTTGATCGCGAGTGCTGTCTGCACAGTGGACGACGCGATGGCGATTCACTCTCATCAGACATCGCGCGGGTAACCGTAATTCGTGGCGACTGTCTGCGCCTCCTTTCTCTACTCATCCCTTCTTCAAGTCCTAGGGCGCGGCCAAGAACGATGTGTGGTGGAGCTCGAATCAAAGGTATAGCAGAAGCTCTAGCCTTAGCTGGTTCTTCCTCCTGAGAATTTTGTAACATATTACAGGATGCTGCACGTTGTGCAGGCCTCTCTGATCCTCGTGAGCCCATTGCTGCTGCGTCAGATAGACGACGAGTCGTTGGTGGCCTTATGCAACCTGAACCGGCTGATAAAGAAGGTCTTCTTGAACCACAAGCGCTCGGGGTTCGTGCTTGAATCTCCTGAGTTACTTCACTTTTTGTCATTCTTTTTCTTCTATAATTCCGTAGAGCGTCTCTAAAAGCTCTACTCCTGATTCCATATAATATACCATTTACAGGTGGAGCTGCTGCTATCAAGGCAGCTGATATAGCGGCAAGAGACTGTGGCGGTACAGAAATAGCGGGCCAAATTAACACACAGTAGTAAGGAAAATACAGAATTGCTAATGACCCCAGAGGTTGCAGGATAGCGGATAATGCTCGTCTTCTAGGAGGTGGCGGAGGAGAAAATGGGTTACGCTGATGTGTCACGGTAACTTGTGCGGATAAAGTAACTTCGTATATTGCAGCCGCTATTCTGTGTCGATGATATCGAGCTATACGAAGTATTTTTAAGCTGCAGAATAGAACAAGTGCGGTGGGTAGTAATAGAGTCAACAACGCATAAACAAGACAGAAACTTAACGCTGTTGGTCCAGCACTGCAGTCGGGTGCACAGCTTCCAAAACCAATACTGTAGGCGAGTGGTGGTTGAGCTGCCGCTAAAGGCGCAAGGAGGGCAGCAAGAGCGATCCAACTGCTGGCAACGCAGATAATTACCTAAAAGTCATCATTTTAACATATTAATTCAATTTAATTTATATAAAATAGAATAATTAATTAGCTAATTTTACTGTTAGAAATTTAAATGAAATAAATTTTCGTCCGAAATCATGTTGCAATATACGTAATTTACTACATGACTTTAATATTTAGAATATATTCCATATTTATATTTAATTATGTAATATTTAAGTTCTTTGATCATTTGTATTTCCAAATAATAATATAAACAATATAAATTATAACTTTGTTTACTTCAAAAAATATCAAGTACATAAAACTTTAAAAATCTCAAATAAATTAAAGTATCGTTAGACCTTTCTCGCAGACACGATAGCCGCATAGTGCAAAGGTGCAGCGATAGCGGCTGCGCGATCTGCATGCAATCCGCACACTGTCCAGAGTTGCAAAGGATGTAATGCATGTAATAAAGCTCCACAAGCACATGCTCCTCCTCCCCCGCAGAGCGATGCGCCACTAGCCAAGGCACCCACTGCTCCGAGATGTATTAGCAACACTGATGATGCTGACGCTGGCTGTAAACAAAAATCTCTGATATGATACTTATATACTTTAGAATTAACATAATACGTCTCAGTGCTTTTCACAATATCTCACGAGAAGCTCTTGATGACCGTAAATGATACCACGTGGTACCTACTCTCCGGTCTATTGCGTGTGTTTATGCAAAAATTTATTTCACTGTAACTTAGTGAAAGTAGGACAAAATTGTCAAAAAAACATACATATTATCGCTTTTGTAAAGGTTAAACAAATATTATCTTCTTGTAACATATCAACATTTACATGCGACATATTTGATTATTCTGTATTGATCTTGAAAATGTGTATAACTTGTTTAGAATAAAATGCCATTGTCACTAGGTCATATTAAGGATAATAAATAAGGAGACATTATGGAAGTATTGAAATGTCCAAGACAAGTACACTAAAGAAAGAGTCTTTTAATTCGTAGGGAAGCTATTAATGGGAAGCCATGAATGGTCTTAAAATATATATGTTTGTTCCACCATATGTGTCTCTCTTTGTCTTCACATATGCGTAACCTTTCCAACGGATAAATATACCACTAAGAAGTTTTTACTTGTAAGGATTGAAAATAGCTAATGTCACTTTCCAGTCTAAAGAACTTTGCAAAAACCTACGTCGATCCCTTGTTTCGTTACTAAGCGAAAAAAGGAAAAAAAAACTAATTATTTTTTGCATTTATATTGAATACTAAACAGAATTGAATATTAAATAAAAGAAACAACTAACAAAAAGATCATTTTGTATCAGTGTAGGTGGAATTACGTGCAATTTCATAACAATAGCAGATAACACGCCAGCCAAATATCCAATTAATGTCATGAAAGCGATATAAATTTTCAAAAGCTAGTTCATTAATATACGAGATAGCTGCTAAATTATCACCGGTAATATTAGATTTAATTTTCCCGTGAAATTGTTTGCTCACTAACACTGAAATTTGAATAGAATTTATTATATAAATGCCATTCCCGGGTAGACTATTCCTTCTTGGTACTACTATTAGTAGACAGATGTATCAAGACATAGATACAATTATGTATGTATTATGTATTAAAACAGTAAAAAGCTAACGCTGTAATGTAAACTAAATTATATAAGAAATCGTAAGCGACGATCTACAAATCTTTGCATTATTAGTATCTCGAATCTATATTTAAAAGCAGAAGTGTGCTTAATTAATATCCAAAGCTATAAAATCCCCGCGTCTTAAGTAAGCTCAAAACGTTTTAGTTTATGCGTAATATTTGTGCGTAATTAATAGGATCAAACGTGTTTATTGAATATTTTATGTGATGGAAATCATCATTATATCAAAGTATACGTGAAATATAAATGATCTAAATGTAAAAGAATTATGGTCATATTTAACATTTAATCCACGAGGCATTTCCACCTATCATCAGGATCTCGTAGAATTTTACCTTTTGTCCCGTGAGAATCCTTCTTTTGATGTGAAAAAAATCTACTTATATCGGTGTTAGTAATTCAATTTATCTTTTTACCAAATTTGTTTAAGATCCTTTGTTTTGTAGTAAAATGATAATAAACAGGTAGTAAAACGGTATCAGAAAGGATTATCTATACATATAATAAAATTGTAACTAAAATCTTATTGAAACATACATTATTATCGATACAGAGGCCGAATCTATAGTTTTTAGAATTTTTGTCTGTCTGTCTTTTACCGCATTACAGAACAACCACTGAAGGGATTTTGATGAGAGAAAAAATACAAAAACTGCATTGTAAGAGTAAACTAATATGTAAAACCTAATAATTTGGATTTTTGTCATCTGAAGGCGGGCGGAGCCGCGGGCAATGTTAGTTATTAATAAGTCAGTGGAAAAGAAAGCAAAAACAGTTATGCCAAATATAAAATTAAACAAGATAGAATTTCGATTATAAGTTGCTATTGTTTATTTCTGGAAATATGTATTTATCAATGGCTTTGTATTACATAAACATCCTTCATAATAGGCGTGTTTTGATTTCGATTGTTTCAAAAAAAAACCTCAAGTAATTCCTTTTTTTACGTATGTGAAAGGTTTGTTACAACACTTATAACTTGGGAACTGCTGGGCCGATTTTCATGGTTTTTGATTTGTTGGATTTGTGTCCGCCTTGAATAGCAGAATAACTATTAAAACATTAGAAAAAAATCCCAAAAATATATATATATATACATTATATATATATATATATATATATATATATATATATATAATATATATATATATATATATATATATAATGTACCTAGGGGTGAACGCGAGCGAAGCGAGGGTGCGCCGCTAGTCGGTTCATAAATAAAAAAGTTATGTAAATTTAAAGTATCACCTAGGGACGAACCCGAGGGAAGCGTGGGCGAGTCGCTACTATTTGAATAATCTGTTAATGATTTTTTAACATAACACCGGCAATAGACAGGCTTTGGTGAGACATGATAACAAATAAAATATTTTTTATCATAAATTTTAAAATAACAAACGAAACATATTGTATAATATTGTCACTTATACGCTGTTTTGAGCTCGGGTTCAGGATCGGAAATTTAATTTGGACATTCGCAACATGTGTACATCTTTTATTGATACTTCACTCTCATTCGAAAAACTGTTGCCCTTTGTATACATGAAACAAAGAAAATTTTATTAAAAGGAGTTTTGAAATTGTTCTAATAATGTCTATTTTTTTTGGGAAAAGTAGTACTTATTTCTGCTACACGAGTAGTACACGACAACCTCCTTTTAAACGTCTTAGCCATGGTTTGCCAACTATATTGAAAATCAATATGTATTATTGAGCACGGTCATACTTGTAAGTCGTAACTACTTAACAATATTATTTACAAATAAGCTTTAGCGTTTAGAAAAATTGAGCAGTTTATGTGCTGGTCACGTACAATGTCAATAGTGCGACTATCGAATTCTTGCAAGCTAGATGAAAGTTTCAAGAAAACACTTCATACTAGTACTATGTTTATTTTATTTATTTGTATAGTTTCGAGCTTATTTGTAAAGCTGAAGAGTTTATTTATTTAAACACGCTAAACTGTGGAGTTAGCGGTTTAATTTATAAATCTTTACTAGAGATTAAAGATACCCTCAGTTAATAACAAAGGTCTTCCTTATTTACACTGTCCTAAAATATTTACTCATTTATATAAATTGGATTTACGTGAAAATAGTATAAGTTGTAATGACCCATAGTAACTTCTGAAATTACACAAGTAGGCTAAGCTTCGGGCTAAGTAGTCGTTGGGTACGAGTATGTCTCTGACTGCATAATACTATATTCCTATGTAAACTTGTTCCCATCTTAATAGTTAGTTTTTTTTCTAGCCAGTTAGATATTTGAAATTTTATTAAACATTTTTTTATAATTTTTACCTACTCAAGTTGTACATAATATAATAAGGCATTTGTGCCGTTACAGTGTTAATAAGTGACTCGCGGTTTATATGAGTCGATTACATACTTTTTGGTAATATAGCTCCAATAGTCTTTGAGTACATTGGCTGTGATATATAGACAAACGGACATGGCGAAATTATATATAATATTCAGCTATTCAGCCTTGGAACTTGGAACTCTAAGAGGAAGCCTAAGCATGGACACACTAACTATAGGAACAAATAACATCAGCCTTCCGCTTTCTTTATTTTATATTATTAAAAATGTAAGGATATTAGAAGAGCAAGCAATAAGTATATAAAAGTGCAACACAATCATAGATATTTATCAACTCAAACGATTCAAGATACACGTGTGGAGGTTATAGAAGTTGTGGCTGACGGCTGTGTCCGTTCGAACGGAAATTTTTCCTAGTATTATCTCCTTTGAAATGTAAACAATCTTACGGGATTGAACGTCTATTTTTCTTCTTGAATATTTTTTTAAAGTAAAATATCAACAATTTTGTTATTTTCGGGAAAAAATTGTTTTGGTTAGATAAAAGCTGGCGTAGACAACAATCTCTAGAGCGAGGATTATTTATTAGTATATAGCCCCACAAAGCGGTACTAGGAGAGGCTACTTAATCTTATAATGAATAATAATAAACATGTTTAACGAATGTATTTTTATGATGATATATTTGTAGCATTAATGGCACCACATGACTAAATTTCCCTAAAAAAATTTCTCGCAAATATTATATACTCGTACTATATTAAATATTTATCTTTATTAACCAAAAAGTCTGTTGACCGTCCCCAATTTAGATCTTTTTCAATTAAGAGAAGATATTTCTCATTAAAATATAAAAAAAAAATTTTTTTAATATTAATATTTTCTCAGCATTTGCGACAAATATTGTAATGTAGATAAAATTACATTTTATAAATGTATAGGTAGTTAAAGTTTCATGATTCATCATCATCTGAAATTAGTTCACCGAATAGGATATTATGTAAGGCGCCACTATTTTATAGATAAAGAGGCTGTATACGGGATCGATAGAGCTGAGTTAAGTCAAACACTCAAATATTTGACATAAAATTTAGACAGTGTAAAATTTTGTGGGAGAATGTGGTATTTTTTTTATTTCATGATATAAAAATAGTATTAATAATTAGTCATGCCTGTTAACTTAATGCCTTTTGGAAAGAGAGACTCAAAATAACTTTAAAAAAATTGAGTCTCACAAAAAGTATGCAAAATGTAAGTTAAATATTATTTCGATCAAAATAATGTTCGTAATTATAAAGTGTTAATAAGTTTATTAACACTTTAATTACGAACTTTACATAAAACAGAAACAAAATAAAGAAAAATATTATAATTAATAATATTGGAAGCAGGCTCGCTTTAGAAACGGGTGAGGTGACGCAGGATCACATCCTGTGTATTTCACTTTTAAAATTGTCATCTGAAATCTCATTTTCAATATTAATACGGTGAAAGAAAATGTAATAGGAAAACTTGTACATCAAAGAAAACCTAACTAGTTTTCAAAATACATGTGAAGTTCTTTAAACCTAATTTGGCCAGCATCGTGGACTACTCGTATGTCATCCTCTTCGCATAGAAGGGAGACTGTATCGTACCTAGCTGTGAGACGTTAAAAGAACTTAATAAATTTACTAATAATTGTTATTTATTAACGACTGCAATTATGGCGTATAAATATAATCAAATCTTTTATATTATTTACGTACAAAAATCATGTATTATATATTAAATCATATATTATTTTAGGTTCATATGAAAATATAACAACGAGTTCAAGTTTAACTTAATACTGTAATTTAGAAACCTACTATAATTTTCATTTAAATTGATCGCTTGAACAGAAGTAAAATTGAGATTAATATTATTATAGCTCATTACTTAATTATCCACTTTGCTACTAAATTAATATACGACTAGATTGTATACTATTAACAAAAATATTAATTTTTATTCTCTCTGAGATTAACTTCAGAACTACAGATCTCAATTTGAGATATATTTTACCAATATAAAATTATATCATTCCAGAACGACATAAGCTACTTTTTACCTCTGTACTTTAAGTGTTTTCTATAAGATTCAAGTGCGATATATCAAATATTATAATAAAATAACAGATAAATAAAATATAATAAAGTGACGACACGTTTCGCTCAGTGTGTAGTGACCCCACTTGCTGTGCCAGCGGTCGCGGGTTCGAGTCCCTCTGGGGGCATTCATGTGTGATGAGCACGAATGTTTGTACTCCAGTCATGGGTGTTTATATTTATAATATGTATGTATTTAAAGTTACATATGTGTAGTGTATCAACTATCTGGTATCTATAACACAAGCCTCGTAGCTTACCATGGAACTAGATAGTGATGTGTGTTAATGTCCCAACATATTTATTATTAAATTAAAGTAATAAATAAAGAGAAAAAACGTAAGGTGTAAATATGTTATATTAATTTTTTTATAAAATATTTATTTACATGCAGCGCCGGTTTTAGTATATTTTATTACTAACGTGTCCTATAGACAATATTTTCTTAGATTTACGCGAATATTTAACATTTTAAATAAAACTATCTTTTTGGATTTTTTTCGCGAATTTATTTTGATTTTTGGTTCCCGACGTTTCGAATCAGTCTCCCGTGAAAATATCCGAAAAGATAGTTTTATTTAAAACGTGTTCTTAATTTCATCCAAATCCGTCCAGCCGTTCCAGCGTGTTTGTTATCAATTTATGAAATAATTCACTATACCAAGGCTAATGAATTTCCAGTGAAATAGTGTTGTAATACATCATGTGTTGCATATTCACGTGCTGCGGCTGGATGGTCGATCTTATTCAGAGGCAAGTACTATATGTGGTTAGTTATAATTTTCAAGTTTTATTGATGTTTATTGATATTATCTATATACACTAAAGTTTGTGCTCGAGATGAATTTTATAAGGTCGCCGCACCCTTCCCTAGCAAATAGGCCATAAAATGAGAGAAGTATTTTTTCAAATCCAATTTACGGACAAACAAAATTTTATAACGTATTCTGATTGTTGTTTTGTGTTTAGAGTACCATTTATATTTTTAAATATTTATTTAAAAGTAGGTAACTTAAGAACCAGTAAATTAGTAAAGTATTTTTATATTATGATAGAGAAAGCGGAGCAAGAGAAAATTGTGGAGTGGGTACAATTGTATTACCTTATTATCATTCTACAAATATTTTTTATTATTGTATTTCATTAATTGCCTTAAGTCACTTGAAAACAAGTTGGACCTTCTGTTAATATTTTATGACCAAGTCAATTATTAAATATTATGTAAATATGGTTCATTTATTATTTATTTTATATCTAATAGTGAAAATAAAAAATCTTGGTTTTCTATCTTTTTTTTACAAATATTGATTTGAGTTTAGAATATACAAACAATGTTTTCTAAACACAATAGGTAGATAAATACCATATTCATATTATTTATGTGTAGTAATATAATATATAAGTTAGTCTTTGGACAAAACAGAAAATACTTTATTCACCGACTGAAGTTCGTCATATTAAAATTTAACTTTTAGTTTATGATCATAATTACAAAAGATTATTTCTTTTTTTAAGAAAGCTCATTTGAATCGCTAGATGAAACGAGTTAGTTATTTTTGAAATATAATTTCTATTATGCTTCTTATAATTTTTACCAAGCAAATTATAATTTCTATTTGATATATATGTTGTACAATTTTTTAAATACAAGTAATTTTATTGTAAATTTCCTATAGTATAAATAATTACAAATCAGAGGCTAAATATATTTCAGAATTTAAATTTATTAACATTAGGAGTCTTCATCATTGGGGACTTTCCATACGTGAAAAATATCATTGGATCTTTGAGGCCTTATCTTTGAACCCCCCTCCTTCCGCTTTACCCAGATGTAAAGTCATATTGCCACTAAATTACCTGGTTGTATCTATATCCGTCGTATTCAGCCTAATAAATCTAATATTATCCATCTCACGACCCGCCCATAGGAAGGTGGTTTATGTCAGAATCCTTTGTGGGCGTGCCCTAATATTATTTTTTTGCAATCACATGAATTATACCTATACGTTACACGATTACAAAGTACAACACAACCCAAACCAACATACATTCATTTATATATGTATTTATACTTAGATTAAAATTTAATTTATCATGCAATGGCAAATTAAGTAATATTTCCAGGTTATGGACATTCACGATGTCTTGCTGCATTAGTTCTGCGGTATGTTGTTCACTTCTCACCGCGTCCATGTCTGGCGTCGCTCTCGGGTACAACTACTCATTAGCTGAGTACATCGACTTAAAAGGTTTTTTTGTTTAAATGTTCAACTGCAATTCTATTTTAATTAAAACATATTTTTTTATACGAATGCAACTAATGAAAAAGATTTTTTCCATGTATTATCCTGAACATTGGGCTTCTTTTAGTATTTTTTGGCGAGCCTATCTATGGATTTGATATCGTGCGTGCTAACAATCACGTAAGATCAATATATAATAAAAAAATAGTGGCAATTGTTCAGAAAAAAAGTAAAATATGAATTAATCACTGCCCAATTCCTTAAAATCTTTAGTTTATCTGCTTCCCGATCATATCTGCTGTGTCATTCTAAATATTAGTACTTGATTATGCAATGTATTTTTTAGAAACAAATGTGTCCGTATATTTGAAGCGCGGTATATTTGATGACGAAATTGCGGATGATATGGAATGGCGTCGGCGTGGTCACCAACCTGTTGGTGGTCATATTGGGGAAAATAACCGTAAGTGTGCACATTTATTTTAAAAATAATAAAAACCAAGGTTTAATTGGATTAAAAACCTAAAAAACTAATTTCCATAAATCTAATCAACATATTTTTTGAACTAGAAGAAGTTTCTTATTTAATTCAGATAAATGAAACATTTATACCCTTATTTAAAACAAATAAATTTTAATGATAAATTATATAAAAGAGAATCATAAATTATACGGCTATTTACGGCTTCAGAATATTTTACATCTAGCTTGGCTTTTATCCAAACAGGTTATGGAAATCATTTCAATAATTTGTCATACTTATTACAGTTCTAACAGCATCTGACGATTCATCAACAACGTTGAGGTCAGGGCGTAGGCTTGATGACTCAATATATGAGTCTAATGATCGAAATAACTTCGAGGGATCTCTAATGAGATTAACAGCAAAGGCTCCTGATCATTCCATTATTACTACTACTGATGGAGCGCCAATACACGAGGTCAGAGATTAGGCTTTAACTACTTAAATTTAATTATAATTAATGATTAATATTATGTAGCCATGAAGAGATTATATTATATAGTAATAATAGTGTAAGAATTAATACAACTATATTATTATTAAATTACAGATAGGTAGACAATATTCCCCGGGTTCCGTCGATGTACTCAAAGCTGTGCAGGGAGTCATTAACTCGAAAAAAGCAGAGGCTGCAGCTCGTCGATTGTATAAGGAAAAGCAAGAAGTAATAATAAGATTTACTAACAAAATACATAGCTATATAAGCTTTATATTACTCCGAAGTCAGTTGTTCTATAATTAGATCAAGATTTACATATTATTCTATATATAGATTTACGTAAAATTTCAGCCATCTGAGAAACCTAATTCTAGTGATCCGAGGCGTGTTATGAAATTTGACGTTCCACCATACGAAGCGCCTTCAAAGCCTAATTCCGTTCGACTAGCCGTACCAGAGGATAGATTCAATGAGTTATCGAAATGGAGGATTTTAAAACCACCTCATATATCGACACCTATAAATGTTTATTACACAGACAGTGTGTTAGGCTTTACATATCCATCACTTGCAACTCCACGATCTGGTCCTGTGAGACCAACTAAGTCAAAGCTAAGGCAAAGAACTAGACCTTCACCTTCGAGAGAATTCCACACACCATCAAGAACCGTTCAACCTAAGCTACCAAAATCAATAGATGAAGAGATGGAATCATTTAAGGAAAAACTTATGGACGATAAATTTGATGAGCTCGGGTAAGTATTTTTATTGAGAAATTAATGTTTTAAAAGATAAAGAAATAAAAATCTGTTTTTCTAAGAAATTAATACGTATAAAAGCAATACGCATAAGTATAAAATTGACAACCATATTTGCGTAATAAATAAATATAATTATATAAATAGTCTAGAAGAACTACTTATTATATGTTACGTAGAACTTAATTCAGAGAAAAAATATTGAATTTCAGAGCTAATGACGATGAATTTTTAAGAAAAATCAAAACAGGCTTAAGAAAAACTTCAGACGATTATGATGAACAAATTAAAGGACTACCATTGCGCAAAAAGAGGCAAATTAATATTTTAGCTATTTCTAATAAAATTAATACAAATAAAGAAATTATAGAAGACAATCTTAACAGAGATTTAACTGTACAGAGCAAAATTGTAAATTTATTGAAAGCGACGACTCTCAGTGCATCGCGTATATTTCCTGACGCAAGCTTTACAGACTCTTCAAGCATTAAAATAGAAAAAGATCGAAACGAAAAAGTTTACTCAAAGCCATCACGAGGAATAGCATCTTCAAATAAGTTATTTCGACTAGCTCTTTCCACTATAATTGCGTAATATACGCAAAAACTTTTGTGTTGTAGAATATTTGTGGTATTTTGTATTGTTTATGGTAGCAATTTACTAAAGAATTTTATTATTACATATCTCCTTTTATTTTTGCCATTTACAACTAATTGTTGGATATAGCGTCTTTCGCATTGTAATTGATCATAAAGCCGAGAGGTGTCGTGGAACAACCGGTAGGAACGAAGATCCTTTCGCTGTCTGCCCTTAGCGCATAAATTAGGTCATAAAACATCAAGTAACGTACATAGTAGTAGGTACATGTTGATATTTGAAAGACCTACACAGTGCACACGAATTTCTTACAACATACATTTCTTATATGATCGCCTGGTACTTATGATGACGTCACATGGGATGACCTTAGTAAATAATCAAAATGTCGGTACGGTCTAAATATTAGGTACACTTTTTCCGTCTGGCTCTCATTCGCCAATTGTCCCGAGTATTATATGCAATAAGAAACTTCATTCCTATAAAAACTTTCACCTAATCAAATATTTTCGATGTCGGTGTGCTTTGCTTTGTATGGGCTGGCACCGATTTCGAAAATATTTGATTAGGTATGTATTTAATAGGTAGGCTTTAATTACTTAGCCAAAGCACACCGACTTCGAAAATATTTGATTAGGTATGTATAGTAAATTAAAACTACCAATCAGTTATTTTTTACTTTTTAGTGCTTTTGTTTGAAGTCGGTTTTTATTTTTTTGTTAAAAAGTTTTTATTTTTCCCTTTTTAGTGTAGACAGTAGTAGCAAAGTAAGGATTCTAACGTGTTAGGCTTGTCAAATCAAACAAAATAAGCCCAAACTCAAAGTATCTACTATTAGCCGTTGAAGAGTTCCACCTATCTTCCTACTCCACCTATCTTCCACCTACCTTCTGGCCTTGCTATCAGATCAGGTCAACAGCACCGAACCACTGTACTATCAACGGAAATAGAAATACTTGCAAAGTTTCAAGTCAATATGACAATTAAAAGTAGGTTAAATTCATCATTAGTTGTTTTTCCACCCTTAGGGGTGATATTTTTTTTTGAAATTTAAATGGGACCAATCTGGAGGTATACCCTTTCAAAAAAACAAAAATTGTCCAAATCGGTTAATAAATGACGGAGTTCTGAGGTAACAAACATAAAAAAAAAAACATACAGTCGAATTGAGAACCTCCTCCTTTTTGAAGTCGGTTGAAAATCACGCCCATCCATCACTCCGTTCGACGTGAAAGAAGGACAAACAAACAAACACACTTTTACATTTAAAATATTAGTATGGATTAACTCAGAGATCTATGTCATATATACAAACATACAAAATAATACAAAATACGGTGGCCAAAGCTTATTAAGTCTAGCCAATCGCTTGGGACATAATATATTTTTAGCGCACAAATGCACAAATGTGTGCACAAAAACAAGTGCACTATTCACTCTTTTCCTTTAACTCTCATCGCCCACGTATAAACACACACACACACATATAAACTTTCGCATAATTATAAAATTATAAATACGAAATTTATAAAAGTACTACGATTATGATAAATAAACTGCAGATACGTACGAGTAAATAGAATCGTGACATGATTTAAATAATAATTAATAGATTATTTCGGCAAAGCTCGTTTGTTTAGAAACTAATATTTAGCACAGAATATGCATCGTGTTTATTTACACAAAGCCTAAATTGTTTGTATGCCGCTTTTGGGCATCAAATTATTATTTGATGAGTCAATACGTGATTAAATTTAATATTTATTATAAAACGCTATTCCTTTACATTACAGGCTGGCTCGTCAGCTAAATCTATGAATCCATACTTAATATTATAAATGTGAAATTCTGTTTGTTTGTTTGTCCTTTTTTTACCGTCGAAGCGGAGGTCTCTCCGATTGGCGTGGTTTTTACCGTGGAGACAGTTGAAGGGCTTGAGAGTGACATGGCTACTTTTTTCCGCGGGAAATTATCTAATTCCCACGGGAAAACCTTTATCATACAATCCACAAAAATATTTATGAACAGAATTACTTGAAACTTGGCATTAATGCTCTTCAATAAAACTAAATAGACACTTGTTTTAGTATTTCTCGTAATTCATCCTATAAGTGAGTAAAATAGGCGATGGAAGTTTGTATGAAACTACCTTTTTAGATTTTTTTTGTAGTTGTAGCAGAAGGTGTGATAGGTGTAATAACACCTATGACCTGAAATAACACTTAATGATATTTCCCAGTAAGTATACTTACGTAATACTTAATGATATTTGTACGCTACGAGCGGTGTACGCCATGAACGCACTCGAGCGGTAATTCGCTAGCCACTTAGCTCTGTAGAATATTAATAAGTAACATGAACAATAAAACAAACTTTGTAGCTGTTAATATGTTAGAGTGATACATTAAACTTAATCTCTTTGTTTGAGTCAAGATCTTCCTAATCATTTAAATCTTCGCTTAGAAGGGGTTTATTCAGTAGGTTACGATGATATTTTCTATTTCCACAATCTACATACATATAATTTGCGTTATAAAATGTTAATATTAATGTTAAAATTAAAGCAAATAAAACATTTAATATAAAAGTTTCCTGGAGAACTGATCACCTATTTATATTGAAATTTTTCTCATGATTTTTTTCATTTCTAATGAATCTTTTATACCGCAGCAGGTATATAAAATTTTAAGGAAAGAATCTATCCTTTAAGTATGAATTATTTTCATGTTAATTTTTAAAACGTGCCTTTGTTACAATATGATTATTTATTTAAAGTAATACAACAAAATTAATTAATGACTTATTACGCGCATATTTATATGCCTTAATTATTACGAGTTTTTGTAACCTTGTTTGTTACTGGGGATTCTTGATATAGTTTTAGGGTTATATAATATTGAAATAACTAGTAAAAAAATTATTTTGCCATATAATATTTGCTGTTTTAATGAAGCCATTCCGACAATATGTAATCCATTCATCATTTCAGTAAGGGGATGAAATGACGCAATACATAATATGTACCTACATATGTACTGGATGGATTGAAAGAGATATTGCCTATTGAGTGCCAGCGTTCAAAGGAGTCGGCTCTCGACTCTCAAAGCGATTATATAGAAAAATACAGTATAATATCAATTTATTAGATATGCAGTTACCCTACATCGATATTAGAGATGTAGTGTGTAAGGTTATATTGATCGAAATAATCTATGAAGTATCAGAGATGTATTGGTACCGTATTAAAATATGTAACTCAAATTCAAAAATAATACTAAATTATATTGTATTATTTATTTATGCCTAGTAATCGTAGAAACTAAAGAGATCTTTTTCATTGTCTATCTAATCGACTCTTCCAAAAATCGAACCAACGAATATCTGTAGCTGCGACTGTCTTAGATTTTTCTTAATATTTATATTTAAAACTCAAAGTGTTTTTGATGAAAATGCTCTTTTCAATATTTCTAATGAATGTAAAGTTTTAACAAAGAATAGTAAAAATATCGCGAACAAAGCGCGATATTTCATTTCTGAACAACTGTCTGGGAAAACGTCGAACGGTTGAGTGGTTAAGATTGCAGGTAAAGATGAGTGTAGATGACTGAGATAGAACATGAATGTCTTTTCAGTCATTTTATTTATCATAATATTTAAATAAAAAATGAAGGGATTTTTTAATTTTGTACATTTCCAAACCACAGGATAATTTTAAAATCATCAGATAAAAGTTATTTATAACCTAAAATGTAACACAAAAAAAATAAAAAGTCTGTTTCGTTGGCTTTTATATTTCAAATTATATTATTTATTGGAAAAGTTGTATCAGATGATTATATTATAGTCATTATGTTAGCTGTGTAAATATAGTGTAGATATTAGTAATTTTAATATTTAATTTGTTTAGCGCCAACAGTTGAAACAAAGAAATAGTGTTTATATAAACACAATAGTGTAATTTCAAAATATTGAACGTATTATGCACTAGATTTATTTAATTTTGATTCAATTCAAAAGATTCAACGCGTCTACTTTATTAAGCTCAACTCGTACTATTACGTTACGTTCGCCCTCCGAAGTCAAATATCGTGAATCTTTCATCCCGACAGACTACTATCATATTCAAGCAATAAAATTCGACTTTGTAACGTTTCGACCCTTCGCCAAACTTACTTTTTAAACCTTTCATGTAAACAGGACAGTTGTGGAACACAGAAACGTTGAGGATAATTTAAATTTATAGAACATTTCATGCGAGTATATGTAGAAAAAAATAATGTGTTAAAATAATAAAAAAGGTTTTTCAGTGCGATTTTCAAATGAGTTTACTGATAACAATTATACAATCTTCTTCTCCCTGCCCATTTCCCAATCACTTGGGGTCGGCGCAGTACATCTTCTGTACTGCTGAAAGGATAACAATTATACAATAATGTACATAAATAAGATTTGGACAATTCATAGACATCTTCAAACAAGTTTAATAACATTTAATAGTAATGTATGTTAGTCAGAAGTCGTCTAATATATGTAGGTATGTATGTATATAAACAAAAAAAAAGGCAGTGGTAGCCCAGTGGTAACGCGCTCGCTTGGGAAACCGAGCGAAGCAGGTTCAAATCCCGGGTCTCGCATCTCTGGTATTTTCATGTGCGAATCATTTCTTACTTGATTTTTACGGTGAAGGAAAACATCGTGAGGAAACCTGCATGTCTGAGAAAACCTACCAAATTTCGAAAAACATGTGAAGTCCGCCAACCCGCACTTGGTCAGCGTGGTGGACTGTGGCCTGATCCCCCTCGTAGTGAAGGGAGGCCCTTGCTCAGCAGTAGGACGTTAAAAAGGGCTAAATACATACATACATACAATACATGTATATAACCACGCCTAGTTATTCAATGCCGTAATTAACTGGTCGCACTGTCTGCTTCTATCTAGGTACATGATAACATACAAACATTTAACTGCTTCGGTGGTGTAGTGGCTAGCGTGTACCGCTGCACACTCGGAGGTCCTGGGTTCGAGTCCCGGGTCAGGCCAAGTTTAGTTATTGAGTTTTTCTGTATAGTAAGTCTCAGTAACAGCCCGGAGTTGGGAAGTTGGCGGTGCTTCACCCCCGTGCCTCGGAGAGTACGTAAAGCCGTCGGTCCTGCGCCTTAACTCTCACTGGTCGTGTCGAGTGGTCGTCCCACCGGAGTATGAGAGTGACAGGAATAGAGAGTGCACTTGTGTCTGCGCATACACTTGTGCACTATAATATCTCCTGCGCAGTTGGCTAGTCTCAATGAGATTAACCGCCGTAGCCGGAATCGGTCAGGAGAACATCATCACATATAAATCGTTCTATATATAATAACAGGTCATTGTAGTGACTCCATATTAATACTCGTATTCACAACATTATCTTAATATTTGCATATAAGCGGTACCTAAGTAGACTATTAAATAGCTATTTCCAACAATATTTTAGTAAAGGTTACTTTAGAGATAGAAAATAAAATCTTAAAAAGATTGTGTATGTAATCAAAACAATATATATAAATTAAATTAAAAAAATTAAAAAAAACCCCGACCATCTTGGAACGATTTTCATCAAACACAACAAGCTAAGAACACTTCCAACGAATTCACCTTTCAAACATAAAAAATAATATCAAAATCGGTTCACCTGTTCGGGAGCTACGATGCCACAGACAGACACACGAAGACACGTCAAACATATAACACCCGTCGTTTTTGCTTCGGGTGTTAATAAAAAAATATCTATATTGCTTTGTAGCAGCAGGTGTATTCAGTAGCCTACTGACCTCAATCGCGAGTCAATCCCATCATATTATGAAGTAATTCAATTTTACCGCAAATGTTAGCTTTTCAACGTTTATTCCATATTCTATGTTTTTGCTTTTTGGATATGGATTTGATTATATTTTATCTACTTAATAAGCTAAAAGCCTATAAATCAAAAGTGGAGCAATCATTTAGAATAAAGTAATAATACAAAGTAGGGTCTAATATTAGAAAGGGCAGACACTATGATAATAATATATGATCGAACCTACAAGCTCAGAATATTTAAGCTTTTTACCTTTTCTGTGCACTATAATCCCAACAGTTTAGCTCTTGAAACTAAAATCCAGTATACAAAATAATCTAAATCTTTATAATTTCGTCATGTCCGTCTGTCTATGTCTCAGGGCCATTGGCCGATATATAATACCTACACTATAAATTATTAAGACTAAAACTTCAAGTTAAGTATAGAATCTATTTAGAAAATATGTGTTAGCATTAAAAAATGAGTTCATTGTACGTTTTTGTCATACAGAAAAATCTCTATTATTTATGTAGTCCGCACCCGAAGTTTCATATTAAGGCTGTTTGATTAAAAACAAAATCCCTAAATAATAATCCAGCACCATCGACCTGCAACCGTATAAGCTACTAGAAAGTGATGTGGATTACATAATACTTTCTTAGATTTACGGGAATATTTGAAATTTAAAATAAAACTGGGTCTCTCCCGTGACCATGATTTCTGTAAAGCATTCGAAACGTCGGGGCCCAAAAATGAAAATAAATCCGCGAAATAATCCGATGTAGTTTAGTTCTAATATTTAGAAGAAGGATATAATAATATTTTACCTGTTTAGTTATAACAATGACGAATAGAATGTAAGCGTTAAGCAGTAACCCGATGGTGGAGATGACGGTGACGGCCACACTCAAAGCGAGCGTCATCGCCTCCTCGCCTCGAGTCTCCGTCCCGTTCATCTCCATTGCACTTGCTGTCTATCCTCGAATATTATTATCTTCTAGCTACACCATGATGTACGGTTTTCTATACTGCATCCCCTCATCTCACTGCTGCAGCTGCGTTCCATCGCATTTCGGATGCTTGGAATCTGGAAATAATGTACTTTATTAAATATGAACAGAAATGTATGTACTCGTATTAAATATTGTACAATAGCAAAAAAAATTTCCCTTTCGATCAAGATACCTTCGTAATAAGTTATAAGGATAGTATAGTATATGTGAATCTAAGTTAATTAGTAATTTTATATTAAAAAAATCATACAATCTATACATAGTATAAAACGAAGTCGCTCCCTATGTTTGTACGCTTAGATCTTTTAAACTACGCAACGGATATTAATGCAATTATAGCAATAGATAAAGTGATTCAAGAGAAGGTGTATATGTATAAGTAGCGGCTCACCCTCGCTTCGCTCGGGTTCGCCTCTAGAAAAACACTTATAGAGATCTACTAGTTCCCAAGGGAACTGTTGATTTTCCCGGATGAAAAGTAACCGGTTGTTAGACCGGCAATATAATTTTACTAAATTAGGTGTATAAGTTGTATAAGTTATTATAGTTTTTTAACTATCCCACGGGAACTATTTGATTTTCCGGGATAAAAAGTATCTAAGATGTTGCCCGGCGATATAAGGTACTATACCATGCAAAATTTCATTTAAATCGGTCCAATAGATTCGGAGATTAGCCCGTACAAACAGACAAACAGACAGAGAAACAAACAATTTGAAAAAAATCTTTATTTGTTCTATTTGTCTGCTTACATCCCCCTGACTCGGTTTTTAGCATTTTTTTTGCTATGTACAGACATTCGACTTCTACTGTTTTATTATAGTATAGATATATAAGCATATTATAGTACAGAAAAGCTGAGAAATTCAAAAATTTGTATTGTGCGTTCACATTGCCTACCTTGGGACGAACGCGAGCGAAGCGAGGGTGAGTCGCTAGTTTTAAATAAAATTTTAACGTACTGCTCGGTACACTTTGTAGTTTCATCTTAGTAGACATAGACAATACATGAGTCTACAAGTAATTTAGTATTTTGCTATTACGGTGTTCCATTTCCTCCACGGCTAAGTATAGTACAAATGGCCTAGGCATTATTCAAGAACTTGGCATCATATGGAAGTTAGTGAAACTAATATTAAAGTGGGCTATGGCTGTAATGTGCTCCACTAGGTACAATACGCCCGAAGTAAAAGTTAATTTTTCCAATTTCCAGGCAAATAGAATAAATCATGGGACTTATAAACGAACGAATAAATAATTATTTGTTCGTAGTTATAAACAAGCACCGCATATTCAATAATTTACAATAGGTAGAGTAAATTATCAGCGAGTTCAGGGCCGAATTAATCATGTCGGAGGCCCTTAGGCAATACAATTCTCGGGGCCCCTTTACTCTTTTCTAACTCATTAAAATACATTTTTTCTACCACAATGCAATTATTTACGTAATTACGCTATTAGGTAGATTTCCTGGAAATCTAACTGTAGTATTTGACCTCATGGTGGAATATTCACCTATTTTTTTAATTTTTCAAATTAAATATTCATTCGATGAAACAATTTAATTTTTTTTCTCGGAGCGTGGGGCTACTAGCCGATGCGGGGTGCCTAGGCAGTAGGCAGTTGCCTATACGACCTTATAGAAAATCTGCTCCTGGGCGTGAGTGATGGGCCACTGTATGATCACAGTGAAAGGAGGCTCGTGCCAACAGTAGGACGATCGGGATGTGTTAGTACATCGTATTGTGTATTATTTTTTATTTTTCATTATATTATTCATTTTATCTCTACTAAGTATCTACTTGTGATGAAATAATTTATTTTCATAATAATTAGATTTAGTCTTTTAAATAGTGAATCTATACATATAATAAAATTGTAACTAAGCCGAATCTGTACATTAAATATTTTTTGGAAAAACTTATTGAAATAGATATTATACATGTTATCGATACATCGGAAATCTTAAATTTTTTGAATTTTTGTCTGTCTGTTTGGAACCCAATCACAGGTATTTGATGAAATTTGGTATGATGATAGCTGGTTATCCGGGTCAACGTATAGAATACTTTTTTTGCGGGAAAACATCTCATCTCTGAGAAATTTATACTAAATGTTAAAACGTAAATAGAAACTAACCCGAGCGGAGCGAGGATGAGCCGCTAGTCATTGATATAAAATGTAAAATACCAAGTAATTAAATAATTTAATTTAACTATAAATAATATTTTACAATACAATACAATAAATAATATTTTAACGATGAAACAAGCATCAAAGTAGAACCTAAAAAAGATATTTTTATGTATCCACTCGTCATAAAAAAATAATTAAAAATTGCTGTTTTCATAAATATAATAACTTGCAATATATAAAATTTGTTTTTACAAATGTGCAAGTTTTGTCCTAGATTACTTTCATATTTACAGAGAAAGAGAAAATGAATTATGCATCTACTACTGCAAAATGTGTTTGTTACTTACTGTCTGGTGCGAGAGAAAAAGAAAATACATTTTACCTTTGTTTATCCAATGGCAGTCAGCATTTTTCTATACTAAACTATATTTATTTTCTTATTTTAATGGTAAAATCATTGATAAAGATTTCCGCAGGATTCAGGTAATTGTGGAAATTATATGAAGATAAAATAAAATTGAGTTAAAAGTAAATCTATATTACTAATAATGTCGAAAACTTGCTGGGTTTTCTCATACATGCAAGTTTCCTCACAATGTTTTCCTTCACTGTAAAATAAGCGATTATACTGTTGTAAATGATTCGCACATGAAAATATCAGAGGTGCGAAACTCGGGATTTGAACCCACTTCACTAGGTTTCCCAAGCGAGGTCGTTACCACTGGGCTATCACTACGTTACTAATATTTTATGATAATTGAACCATGTACCGTAAAAATGGAATAATACGTTCAATTTAATAGTAAACAAATTTGTTTCTGTAAACGTTTTGAAAGATAAAAAAATAATACATAATAATAATAATAAAAAAAAAACAATTTTCAATTTCAGTAAAGGCTTTTCTCGTGTAATATTCAATTTAGTACTTCGGAATTCGTTCTTGAGATCTAGCGTTGAATACCTAATAAGCTATCTAGAATCGAATAAAAAATTTCTATAATGTGTTATAGAATCAATAAATTGAATATTATTCAAATAATTTTAATTAAATTAAAGAATTACTGAGACACGAATGGCATAATAATACTATCCTTGTTTTAGATACGATGTCATTCGACAAGAATATTACTGATAGGTACGTTTTAACGGTTAGTATGGAATAGATATAGTATATATTAGTATATATTTTAGACTTTTATATCCCTTATTTGAGAAATGATTGATTCCCCATATAAATTTTCATCCCTCTTTTCACCCCCTTAAGGGATGATTTCTGAGATAAAAACAATGTCCTATGTCCTTAATAGGGTTTCAAACTAGTTTCATCTAAATCGGTTCAGCGGATTTTTTGTTCATCCATTACCAATAAAAATACTTTCTCTTTAATACTTTCTTAGATTTACGCGAATATTTGACATTTTAAATAAAACTATCTTTTCGTATTTTTTCGCGAATTTATTTTGAATTTTGGTTCCCGATGTTTCGAATGCTTTACAGCTGTCATGGTCACGGGAGAGACTAAGGTTTAAGATGTCTCAAAAGCATTATATAGTTGTTACAGACAACCTACCCACAAATTAACAAAAATGCATTCGAAACGTCGGGAACCAAAAATCAAAATAAATTCGCGAAAAAATCCGTAAAGATAGTTTTATTTAAAATACTCTCTCTTTATTAGGTATATTTTCTCTTTATATATATATATAAAATAAAGTCGGGTTTGTTACAACACTTATAACTTGAGAACTGCAGGACTGAATTTCATGGTTTTTGATTTATTGGATTTGTCTTCCCCCAAATAGCAGAATAACTATTAAAACATCTGAAAAATTCACGAAAACAAATTAAAATTTATATGGCTAGCGCTAGCTAATAACCTTTTATAGCCATTTCAAACGTACCCAACGACGTACCCCAGCGAAGCGAGGGTGAGTCGCTAAGAGAAAATATAATACATAGGTACATACATATGTAATTTCCGTATATTTTTGTAGATTTCTTTTCTTTGAACGATTGTACGATGACATCTTGTCTAAAACCCCTCTTCAATACATATATTAAAAATTGTAACTAAGCCGAATCTGTACATTAAATATTTTTTTGGAAATTCTTTTTGAAATAGACATTAAGTATTATCATCATCATATCATTATACAGAGTCCGAATCTATAGTTTTTAGAATTTTGGTCTGTCTGTCTGTATGTCTGTCTGTTACCGCATCACGGAAAAACCACTGGAGGGATTTTGGTAAAATGTGGTATGATGATAGCTGGTTATCGGGGTTAACATATTATAGGATACTTTTTACTGCGGAAAAATATCTCATTTCTGATAAATCTTTACTAAACGTTAAAACGTAAGTAGGGACGAACCCGAGCGGAGTGAGGGTGAGTCTCTAGTTTATATAAAGTAGCTTAAGCACCCTAATCCGGGCTTTTTCGTTTGGCCATAGTACAAAGACGTTAACTCAATCAACGCGCAAGCAGCAATAATTCTATCCACTCTGTATCACCAAAATAGGGTAATATGTTATTATTATTTTTTCATTTTTTTTATACAGGAATATACAATGTCGTCTATTGAAATATATTTGAAGTAAGTTTTCATCCTTTCTAATGAGACCCAATGCCCAAACAAAGAAGCTATAAGCGATAGGATTACAGCCTATTTCAGTGAAGGATAATCCCTAAGACAGGTTTTTATATAAGTTTATATTTATTATTTCAAAAGTAATCCTTAATAAATAGACAAATTTTTAAGGTAAATAATATTTTTCTCGCCTATGATATTTAAAAACTTTAAATTAATGTTTTTGAGCAAAACGATTATATATTTTGACGTTCTTTATAATTTAATCGCCTCGTTTTATAAGTCATCAACATTAAAAGTTCTTTGCTTCACCATTAGTAAACTATCACAAAGTAACATTGTAGATTTAGAAACAGTAACAACCAACAGGTAATCTAATTTTAGGCATAACTTTTTATTATAAATAATATTAAACAATTTATTTACATTTTTGTCGAATTTTTATTTTATTAGTTGTTCTTTTCCAAAGTATTCTCATATTCTCGGTCTTTATCCCCTAAAACAATGCTCAACTTCAGTTCACTAGTGTTGACTGACATTAAACATTAAAGCGTGAATACGTTAAAAAGGTCTTTAAAGCTATATTTAACTTAGTATGGAATGACTGAAAGACATAAAACACGACGCTACGTTACTTAAATTTCATATAAAATGTATTTACTAATACGTACATAAATCATTTCTTATTGTAAACATAATTATATTTATTTAAGCAAGTTTGTTAAGTACTTTTTCAATGCTTTGAACGAAATGGTAAGCTTACTTTGTGAGTATATAAAAGTTCAAAGAATTAAAGTTTCAGCACAGAAATAATATAACACTTCGAAACGCGCTTCGTCCGTAGTAGGTAACTATTAAATACTAGCTGACCCTACAGATGACCTAATCTCAAATTTTCTTTCGGGTCATACAAAAACTATACGAAAAAGTATACTAACGAAATGCCCTATTTTCAGTGGTTGAACATTATTTTAAGTCTACATAAGCGTGAGGGATATTTCTAAGTAGGTCTTTAAAATTCAGATTCATGTTACTAGGGAACTTTTTGTTCAACCATGTTCAAGAATTATATAGTTCTTAAATGAAACGTTAGGAGCGGTGTAGTTATGCCTACAAAACACATAACATTTATTATATTTGTAATTTAAAAGAAAACGATGAGAATGTATGAAAGCGCCAAGAAGACAAAAATATCAATAGTAAATGTTTTTTAAATACATTTAGTGACATAACTTGCGATACGAATATCTTGTATATTTTCATTTTATATTATCGTCATCCACCTGCATTGCGAGATGTTCACAATTCCGACCCATGAAAGTCAGTATTACTTATGCTCGAGAGTGAACTACATTAACGATCGTATCTGAAAGCACTATGAACCTGTTGAATAGCTTTTATAGCATCATTGCCTCTAATGACCGGTATCGTGCGAGTGGGAGAAAAACATACGTCTATATATTGTAAATATACCTAATATAAATCTGTACTAACATTATATATAGGCAGAGTTTGTTTGTTTGTTTGTTTGTTTGTTTGTTTGAACTCGGGAACTACTAATTCGATTTGAAAAAATCTTTTTGCATTAAATAGCCCGTTTATTAAGGAAGGTTATAGGCTATAATATATTATCATGCAACTACCCAAAAGAGCGGAGCAGTAATCATAAATGTCAACAAATCAGGCAGACTTCCATACATTATCGTAAGACTGATATTTTAGAAATTTTGAACACGGGCGAAGCTGCGGGTGCATATACTTATCTATATTATCGTTTTTCTTAAAAGCTTTAGTCTTCAGCTTTTTATAATGGGGCAATTGTAACTTTTACTTATATATTTTTACTCTTTGTTACAGACAATATATTCTTAACCAACTTAAGTAACTAACTAACTTATGTATTTTTGTATGTTATGCAATTTGCCTTTGTTATGTAACTATAAATTTTCGGATTTCGGAATATTTCCCTTTAATTTTACTATTATTATACATTGCTTCTTGCTAAATTTCATGATTCTAGATCAACGGGAAGTACACTCAATAAAAGTTTTGATTCCTTTGCGAGTCTAAAAATATGCAACATAAACAACCGTATCTTTTGATTGTATTGCCTTAAAAGTTTGATTTTTTACAGCTCCAAGAGATTGCAGACTATCTACACGAGTTTCTTAGAAAAAACGTCTTGACAGGAGGTAAACAGACAGACAAACAGACGGACAACGAAGTGATCTTATAAGGGTTATTTTTTCCTTTTGAGTATGAAATACAAATCTTTGAATTTCTTGGCTTTTCTATACTACAGTATGCATGTATTATACCTACATATAAACCTTCCTCTTAAATCACTCTGTCTACCTATTGAAAAACACCCCATCAAAATCCGTTGCGTAGTTTTAAAGATCTAAGCATACATAAGGACAGACAGACAGCGGGAAGCGATTTTGTTTTATACTATGTAGTGATACACATAATAGGTAAAATTCTGAGTCAGATCTGTACATTAAATATTTTTTGGAAAATCTTATTCAAATAGTCATTATTGATTATTATCAATACAAAGGCCGAATCTAGTGATTTTTTGTCTGTCTGGGAACGTATCACGAGAAAACCACTGGACAGATTTTGATAAAATTTGGTATGATGATAGCTAAAACATGGTTCAACATATATGGTACTTTTTACTTCAAAAAATATCATCTCTGAGAAATCTATACTTACCTTTAAAACGTACCTAAGGGCGTACCCGAGCGGAGCGAGGGTGTGTGGCTATTACTATTATGTGTGTCGCTATTACTATATAAATATCTTTATATACCTACTAGATACATTTCTTAACATGCATTACAGGCCTTTCCGAATCAACGAATAAATCTGTTGTAGAGTACTCCCAAAGGGAAGCTAAAGGGATCAAAAGACGCAACATTACATTTTCCTATATGAACAGTTTTTCTATAAAATGGATTTACCTGAAGTAAATCCATTTATTTATATCCATAGTATGTCTTTTGGTTTATTATGTTAAGTTTTAAAATAAAAACTTAAAAGTAACTTTTTCTATTGTCAAATCATCACTTTTTTGTCGTTTGGGAACAAATGATATTCATTTTCTTTACCTGGCACTACACAATTTGTCATTTCAATTAAATTTTAAATAAATAAAAAAGAAATTCATCTACGCTATAGAGCTTACGCTATACATATACTGAAAATCATAGTGATCGCGACATCTGGCGGGGAAAATGGCAAAATTCTTTTCCAATCCCCATTTCATCCAAAGAAGTGTCAAAAATGTGCAGTAGAAGTTATCGACAAATATTTAATGGCTTATTTCGTCATTTTCGTCAATTTATTATTATTATTTTATTTTTAAGAAATTTATTTCTATTTAAGCGTGTCTATGTTAAATTAAAATTACTATATTAGTCAAGTCAAAGTACCATTTAAATAAAAAAAAATTATAGCTTATGTTGAGAAAGCCTTTTTAAACATCTGCTAGGCGAGCGTAGCCGTTCGCAAGAGTTAGTTTAACTACAAAAATATTAAGCTTTCTCGAAGTAGCTATATTTAAAGTTAAAACACAAGAATTGCCTGATTTTATAAGTTCTTTTCATTCTGATGGAAGCAACAGATGGAGGCTTGAAGTTACCACGGTGACGCAATTAGTAGAGCGTCGGTGCCTTAATTCGTTTACTCGTCTCTACATAACACCCTTGTGGCGTCTTGTAAAGTGCCTTATTAAACATACACCAGTAGAAGTAATGGGTTTGTTCAGTAATGATTGTGAAATGAATGTGATTTTCGTTCTTTCTCAACGAACGCATTTTTCGTTCTTTCTTCGAAAGCTTTCTCAATAGAAAAAAATATATGGCCAAATTAACCCGCCTCCATTTTGTTTTTTTTTTCTAAGTAGCAGTGGACTTATGGGATAGAAAACATTTAAAGCAACAAAAAATATCACTAATATCGTACCCTAAAGTGTCAAGATTCCAAAATATTTGGAAGTAAAGATATAAGGCAATAATTAACAATATACGTGTTTATATGAACTAGTTTGTACTATAGATATAAGCGTGTTGATTTAAGTATTTAGTAGAAGAAAGTAAAATTACTTTAATTAATTACTGAAGTGCACATACTAAACCACATGGCAATAAAAAACTCAGGTTAACGTTGCTCAAACGTGCTACTATTTTTAATTCCTTTGAATAATAACATTTTTAAACAATATTTTTAAATTAAATTAACCAGCGGACTATTATTTGAGAATAATAAAAATGTATACAGCATATTAATTCCTCCCCGCAGGTTTGTCCTCATAAAATTTGTTTTCTTTCCTTCTATGCCAGCGACATCTATTAGTAAGTTCAGAACTAAGATAACATTAAAATTAAACTATTATTATCGCACTAACGTTAAAAACATATAAGCACGTGTTATTACAGAACATAGTCTATCTAAATCAAGTATTATCATAATCCGTTCATACATCCAAACACCTTCTCAATACATATCTTTAAAATTGATAGAAAATGTAATATATTATATTCTTTCTTGCACAAATGAGTTATAAGAAAAAAATACATAGAGAGTGACGTGGACAAAGGTGGACTCATCTCTATAAGAGTTCTCTTCCAGTCAACCCATGTATGTGGGAAATAGTGTTAAATAGCGGGAGAGACAGAGAAAGTAAGTGCAGTTTTTTTTTAGTAAAGTATAATATAATAATAATGTTTATATAATATTTTCATGATATGATAACAAAAACGATATTATTTACCTACCAATGGGGACGAAAGAGGTGATATTAAAAAAGCTTTAACTAAGTTAGTTATAATGATTATATTTTATTTAAAGCATGTACATAGATTTAATTTTATTAAACTCAACTGTACACTTGAGTTTTAGTTAATAACTGTTCTATATTCTGATTAAATATAGAACATTATTTAGTTTCTAGGTTCTCAGTAACAATATGACAATATCCTTAATGAAGTTGGAAAGAAATGCGTAGAAAAGGTAGTTTCAACTATATCTTTTATAAGACCGAATAAAAAATGGCTGTGTTTAATTATAATAATTATATTGTAAAAAATTGGCCGTGGCCGAAATGAGGACTAATCTCCTACTGACCGATTTCGGCCACGGCGGCTAATCAAACTGACACTACGTAGCTGCGGGAATATTATAGTGCACAAGTATGCACGCAAACAAAAGTGCACTCTCTATTCCTGCCACTCTCATAGTCCGGTGGGACTTAATTCGACGAGTGAGAGACCAGGCCCACGATCGATGGCTTCAGCGCTCTCCGAGGCACAGGGCTGAAACACCGCCAACTTCCCAAAACCGAGCTGCTACTGAGGCTTTCTTAACAGAAAGACTCAATAACTTAACTTGGGCTTACTCGGGATTTGAACCCAGGACCCCAGATCTACAGCGGTTCTCGCTAGCAACTAGACCACCGAGGCAACTATAATATACATTAAAATCTACCCAGTTATAAACATATATATAATCATAGCTAGCTAAAATAGTTAAAAAAATTAAGAACAGAAGATTTTATTTCTATTACAATCTCTTCATATATAAAAAATATTTGATATAGAACTTTAACCTAAATAAGTGCTTAAAACAAATAGCTTTTATTGATAATACTGCGGCTCACCCTCGCTTCGCTCGGGTTCGCCTCTAGAAAAACACTAATACAGATCTATTAGTTCCCACGGTAACCGTTCATTCTTCCTGGATGAAAAGTAACCTGTTGTTTGACCGGCAATATAAGATATCAGAATGTTAAATACTAAATTAGGTGCATAAGTTGTTGTGTACTAAGCTGTATAAGATACTATACTTTCTTAACTATCCCACGGGAACTCTTTAATTTTCCGGAATGAAAAGTATCTTACATGTTAACCGGGGATATGAGGTATGACCATGCAAAATTTCATTTAAATTGGTCCAATAGTTTCGGAGATTAGCCCGTTCAAAAAGACAAACAGACAGAGAAACAAAAAAAATCTGGATTTTTCTATTTTTTCGTCTTACGGGGTGTAAGAAGATAACTGACTCGGTTTTTACTATTTAGCATTTTTTTCTATGTACAGACATTCGACCTCCACAGTTTTATTATATTTATAGATAGAATAAATAACGTATAATAAAACAGTTATATATATATATATATATATATATATATATATATATATATATATATATATATATATAAATGTTGACCCAGGTACTAAGTTATCACTATACAAAATTTAGTTAAAATCGGTTCAGTACTTTTTGCGTGAAGCGTGCACATCGATATGACTAAGTTAGTTTTATTATCCGTATAGATAAGAATAGATATTGCTTAGGATATATACATATACTATTCAGAACTTCCCTGTAGGACTTTTCAAGACCTACAATTTTTTAGTATATTGTTTTGATGTATGTATGTCTTAAGGTTTAGCCTGCGGAAGGTTTCTAGGGAGGACTCGATAAAACCAGTTATTGTATCTTCCCGTGAGAAAGAAATATTCTCTTGAACTAAAAGGTATCCTAAACGTTGGCTCGAGTAGTTATCACTTCACCAAATTTCGTTGAAATCGGTTCATAACTTTTCGCGTGAAACGCGCATACAAAAACAGACAAACAGACATACAGACAAACAGACATTTTTTTTTAACTATTGTTTTGGGGTCTATATTGTGTACATAATTCGTTACAAATAAACGAAAACATCTATCCCACGGGAACCATACGTTTTTCCGGGATAAAAAGTAACCTATTTGTTATTCTGATGTATGACCTATATTATTGTAAAGTTTCATCAAAATCCAGTCAGTAATTTTTGTATACTAAGCTGTATAAGTTACTATAGTTTTTTTACTGTCCTACGGGAACCTTTTAATTTTTACGGGATGAAAAGTAGCCGATTTATTATTGTCATGTATGAACTATATTATTGTAAAGTTTTATTAAAATCCAATTCGTAGTTTTTGTGTACTAAGCTGTATAAGTTATTATAGTTTTTTAACTATCCCACGGGAACTATTTAATTTTCCGGGATAAAAAGTATCGAAGATGTTGCCCGGGGATATAAGGTACCACCATGCAAAATATCATTTAAATCGGTCCAATAGATTCGGAGATTAGCCCGTACAAACAGACAAACAGACAGGGTAACAAAAAAATTGAAAAAAAATCTGGATTTGTTGTATTTGTCTTCTTACATCCTCCTGACTCGGTTTTTAGCATTTTTTTGCTATGTACAGACATTCGACCTCTACTGTTTTATTATAGTGTAGATAGATTATAAATCTCATTTAAAAATTCAGCCGTTTTGGAGGCTACAAACAGATAGAGAGGTAGGGAAAATTATTATTATTATTGCTTATAATTTTGGTATCATGTTAATTTAGCAGACTTTTGTTAGCTTCAGTTGTATCAAATCTTGGAAATGAATTTTAACTTACTTCTAGTTCTTGTATGATTTGTAACTTTGTGTGTATTTAGAATAATAGAATAATTAAATACCGTGAAACTCATTCCGACTTTTACGAAGTTAGTAATCAATGGCTACTAGTTTGATTTGTTTCGACGAGACCCATAAGTTAGAAACGTATTATTTTTTTTACAATTAATACCAGAAACGCACACTTAAAATTTATTTCTAAGCAGAATTAATTTCTCTTTCAACAAAAATAACATATTGCAATATCTACAGATATTTGTATTTTATAAAGCTATATTTTTATCGACATAGAAATTATATCTACCACAGCTTCTTATATCGCTAGATTTAAGCTATTTGAATATTTTGCTTAAGCTTTATCGGGTCCATTAGCAAGGATTTTCCGGCTTTACACCATTAATGCAAATTGCTCAGTTGTTTAACGCCTCGGTGGAAAATTTTGTTATCAGGTTTCATAAAGAACGATAGTGTTTTTTTTGAAAGTATTATAAGGTTGGAAATATCGAATTTCATCATCTCTATTCATTGAATAAACCTGCGTTTCCAAATATTAAGATGCTTTTAGGATAGCAGGAAATAAATAAGGAAAAAACTAAGCTTTTATCCAAGACTTTTCTCCCACACTTTGAACGATTCGTTTTCAACAATTATTATTTTTAAATAAGTATTTTATTATGCAAAAAATACTACAGAATAAAATCATGGCTTATACTAGACAAGCGACTCGCCCTCGCTTCGTTAGAGTTCGTCCCCAGCTTGCTTCCCAATACAAACTTTCACCCCCTTAAGGAATGATTTCCGGAATCAAAAGTATCCTATGTCCTTCCCAGGGTCTCAAACTATCTTCTTACCAAATTTCAACTAAATCAGCTCTGTAGATCCAGAGATTACCCCCTACAACGTCACAAACTCACAAACTTTACCTCTTTATAATATTAGTATAGATTTGTTCTGTATAGTAAATTAAAATAATTCAAAAATATATCAGTAAAATATGTATTATGAGAAGATTTAATATGAGACTGTTCGAAATCAGTCGTTTTTATATTTTAATACAATATAATAAAATACTAGTGACTCACCCTCGCTCCGCTCGAGTTCGTCCCTGTTTACGTTTTAAGGTTTAGTATAGATTTCTCAGATATAAGATATTTTCCCGCAGTAAAAAGTATCCTAAATGTTGACCCGGATAACCACCATCTACACACACACTACATAGCTATCATCATACCTCATCAAAATCCTTCCAGTGGTTTTTCCGTGATGCGGTCACAGACAGACGGACAGACAAAAATTCAAAAAACTATAGATTCGGCTTCTGTATCGATATAATAATGTCTATTTCAATAAGATTTTCCAAAAAATATTTAATGTACAGATTCGGCTTGGTTACAATTTTTATTATATGTCTAGATAGCCTTTGTCGTCAATAAACGGGCTATCTAATGTAAAAATATTTTTTTAAATCGGATTAGTGGTTCCTAAGATTAGCGCGTTCAAACAAATAAACGAACACATAAACATAAATATGTTATGTTTTATGGTGTGCAATAAAGAATATTTGTATGTATGTATGTTTTGATAACTAAGCTAAGTCGGGACCATACATTCGCACTACCTTAAACTATAGAATATATAAATGTGCAGTTATTAAAATTTATTTCAAACCTCCTTAGCTGTTTCTAAGTGATATTAGAATTCTTCAGCCCACTTGCAGCATATATTACACAGCTTCCTTAATTAATTTCTGTTCCGTTCATTTTTACAAATTTTACCAGCAATGTTCAAAGTGGAGTTTTCCAATTAAGCAGTTTTGAACTTTCGCAAACAGTTTCGCTTTCAAATTCTTAAGCTATTTAGTACTTATTTTATTGTACTTCTTACATTATTTCAAAAGCTTGCATTAAGTTAAATAAATATAATATGATATATTTCGAATTTTTTCTGATATAATTCGAATTAAGCAAATGTTGAATTTCTCGCCGTTTTTAAGAGAACTATATTCCGTGTTGGTACTAGATTCCTCATGGACTGACTACTTCTTTTTTTAAATACAAAGAACGATTCGAAAGTGCTTGTAAAAGTCCAGTTAAATAAAATTAATTATAATTATATGAAGAAAAAATGTGCAAGGATAAAGCAAAGTCCATTCAAGATTCACAACGAAAACATGCTTATAAAATTAAAGCAAATATTACGTTATACATGAATTAATGAGAACAGAAAATATCACAAATGCGGTGTATTATTTTATGTTATATACTCTTAAGTATACTCGTAACATGAATTCTATTCAACAAATACGTTTCAAATCTTTGTTCAAACGTTTTTTAAGCAAAGATAAATTAATAATTGAATAGCATGATATAACGATTGTATGTATTATCTTTACAATTCCGCAAGACTTTGCAATGTTAAGACAATTTGATACTTTGTGAAGCAAAATGCGAAGTCGTAAACTACTTAAAATTTTCATTCGATAAAGATTAATTAATTAGAAGCAGAATTGGAAATAATTAAATTGAGAAATAATTGGAATTATTAGGAGTTACGTTCAAAGTTTTAGTAATATTTTTCAGTTAGAAAAATAATACATTTACTGTACAGTGCAGTACACTTTACTTGTTAGATCAAAGCAAAATTATTTGAAAAATGTTAAAGTTACATGGCACTTAGCACCAATATCTCGAATATTGCTTTAAAAATATTTATATATTACGGTAAAAACATTCATGAATAAATTTGGATAATATTTTGTTTTATAAGAAAAAAATATATAATCTTTTATTCTTGTCGGCGACGGAAAACCTATCTTCGAGTAACGTGTGTATTAATATAGGGACAATGTCATTTTAGCGTATTATGAATAATTGTTGTAAATATGAAATCTCATTCTTATTAGATTTATTATGTTAAAATAAGTTCTAATTAGTGTAATAAGGTTAGTTTAGAGTATTTTTTGCTTATTTGAATCATATAAGACTATTTAACATTAATTTGAAAGGAAT